ATGGCAATAAACAACAAATACCTGAAATAAAACTTGCATCGAATGCAAGCTACAGCTATATTACATGGTTTGTTATTGCACCTATTACTTCACGACAATATAGAAGCACGTAGCAATTTCAAACATGCAATTTAGCACCGGCACCTCAACACCATCGAAGTTTCGAACCAAATCCGAGCAACGCTAATTATGCGCAGAGGTAAGCAGTATTTAAAAAAAAATGTAAATCTGTTTTAAAAAAAAGACGATGTGTGGGTGAAGACTAAGGTGGTTACCTGAAAAGCTGGGACTTCATTGAAAGCCATTGTACGAAACTTCGATGAAGCTGCAATGCGGTTCGGATCCGACACATGCAAGTCATCTTCGTTTAAACTGTCATTCAATTTCGCTGAGACAATACAATGAGCAGACAATAATTTTAAGGAATGCACCTGAAGCACCGGAAAAATCTCACTTACAAAACAATCTTTTTTTTTTTTTATAATAATCGGATTAAATTTTTATTTCCCATTAACAAACTTCCAAATAAATGCTCCTCAATATCCATAAGTTATAGAATAAAAGCATTTCCGTATTTACCTCAAACAGAATGGTATGGAACAACAGATCGCGAGCAGTTGGCCTTTTCGATGGGTCGGGATTCAAACAGCTCGCGATGAAATCCTGCAAAATACACATTTTGATATGAATAGTCACCGAAGCAAAACGAGAACCCCGAACTCGAAAATCGTATAGAGAAAATCGCCCTCGCAGATTCTTTGAAAAATCCAGGTCAATTATGCCAGAGTTCCGCAGCGGCCAAATGATCTCGATGGAATTTCGAACTCAGAATGACCTAAGACGTCGAATACTCCACAACTTTATTCCAGGCCGAGCTCCTTCCCCCAACGAAGCCGCGCACAATTCAGCGAATTTGTGGACTCACCTTACTGCTTTTTGCCCGACAAACTGCTTTTTTTTGCTTTTAACGGGAAAGCAACATCAGCCAAAGTGCAAAGAAGTGCGCCTGCAGTTAAGTAGGAAGAGAGTGACAAAGTTCAGCGGATGGAAATTTTTAAACATAAACATGTTTGGATGCACTGCACCCGTATCGCTTTTAATTAAAAGTCAGAACTCATTGTTTCTATATTCGTTCTTTATAACAGGTGAAGAAAATTGAAAGCAGCCCAAGTGACGAATGCCAAGAGCAACTATTTGTTGGCAAAACTATCCAAGGTTTCTTCTTTTAATGGTTGCTTGAAAGTAAACCTCTGACGGGTGTGAATACCTAATAAATGTTACTACCAATTTGTCGTCGAAACGAATGAATAATGGTAGAGGAAACATAAAAAGGTGTGTTTTACTGCACAGAAAGACAATAAAAAATTGGCCAACGCATGGACTGCCCGTGCGAAGATGCGTTTTTTGCAGAGTTCCCTGCAGTTTTCGTCGCTACCGGCATCGGTTTTTTTGGCAGATGCTTCTAGTAGAAAGAATTTCAGACTGGCCGCCAGAACTGTCAGGAAACATCCCCTCAAAATTCCGGCCTTCTAGCCCCTCACGTTATCGAGTCAGTAACTTACCCGGAATGAACTTTTCACGGGCCTGTACGTAGGTACCAC